AAACGTTATCTTTCCGATGCTCTGACATTACGATGATTAGACCGATGTAAATCTTTCGATTTCGAAAAATTATTCTTAATTAAGTTCCTGATATGCAAGAGGAACGCTTGAAAACTCTTTTAATCAGTCAGCTGTGGGCGACCTATTTTCAGAGTTTGCACTTGTTTGTTTTATTTCGTCTCGAACTCCAAAGATCCTAAACATATTCAAATTTACGAATATATTTTAGCTTTCGTTAAAATTACAATTTAAATATCGAATGGTAACCAAATGTTACGTATGACGGATATACTCATCATGACACAAAATACTGGCATTTCTCCATTACGTGTACAATCGTCAAACACAGCTGACTGGTTAATAATTATTTCTAACTGGATGGTGTTAAGATTAAACATCCACAATATTCTGTCGAAGATTCTATCGATGAATCAAAACTGAAATACTCTTAGAGAATTTTTATGGTTCTCGTAAGCTCTCTAATTTTATATTATATCTAATTTAACTAATATTTAAGAATGTTATTCCGGGGAACATTGCATAAAACGGACCCGTAAGAATTTCATTGGGGTATCAAAAAGGGTTCGTGGGGGAGAAAAGGTTAAGAACCATTGGCGTAGACTTGTTGATCCTAACTTAAAATTTGAAACGATTTGTAGGAAATATAAAATTGTATATTCTGTCTAATTTAATCAATATTTAAGGACGTTATTCTGGGGAACATTGCATAAAGGGGGTCTGTGAGGGAGAAAAGGTTAAGAAACATTGGCGTAGACGACTCGTGTATCCTTAAAATTTGTAACGAATCGCAGAAAATGCAAAATTGTATATTCTGTCTAATTTAATCAATATTTAAGGACGTTATTCTGGGGAACATTGCATAAAGGGGATCTGTGAGGGAGAAAAGGTTAAGAAACATTGGCGTAGACGACTCGTGGATCCTTAAAATTTAAAACGAATCGCATAAAATAGGAAACTTCATATTGTATCTAATTTAAATAATATTCAAGATGTTGTATGCCTGTATGTATCATTATGTTTACGCCAGACTCTCTGATTCTGATTCTCGACAGTTACACGAACGCGCAAGCTTTTAGTCTGAGACTACGAATAGTAAAATTGTATTTGTACGCCGTTAACCTAGTATTCCGACGGTTAATAAAGTATTATTAAGAGGAATACAACAAAGAACATAATTCTGAGGAACATTGCATAAAAGAGATTCGTGGGGCTGAAAGGATTAAGAGCCATTGGCGTAGTCGTCTCGTTGATCCCTAAAATTTGAAACGAATCGCAGGAAATAGCAAACTTCATATTATATCTAATTTAAATAATATTCAAGAACATAATTCTGCGGAACATTGCATAAAAGAGGTTCGTGGGGGTGAAAGGATTAAGAACTATTGGCGTAATCATCTCGTTGATCCCTAAAATTTGAAACGAATCGCAGGAAATAGCAAACTTCATATTGTATCTAATTTAACTAATATTTAAAGGCATTATTCCGAGAAACATTGCATAAAACAGACCCGTAAGCTTCATTAAGTTACCAAAAGAGATCCTTAGGGAGAAGATATTATCATTGGCGTAGATTCGCGGCCGAGAACGAAGCTTCGGGATCGTTGCAACGGCCGTTTCATCGAGAATATTGTAGTCTAACGGCTGATCTAGTTCGATGTTCGATCGTTAGCAGCCATCGAGTCGGCCCTTCGTCGACGCGTTGAGCGATTGCCAGGTTCGATTACAAATTTACAATCATGACGCGACGATGACATGGTCGGCGAATGCGTCCCATCGATGGGCACGCTGCGATGCATCGGCTATTGGGTCGTGTGCGTATGTGGGACGAGGTCAAAGGGCGCTTTAGATTGCGGGCATTTCACGGAAAAGTCACGACACGATCACGCATCCGTCCGTGGCCCATACACGTGCGCTTGGGAAACGTTCGTACGTTGATCGCGGAATGTGCAAGCCTCTTTTCTTTCGTAGACAAGCTTCTCGCGATCGACGTGGGACGACAATCGCAGCGCAGGTGAACGGAATTGCCCGACAATAAATTATCCTCGCGATCTACTCCGCGATTCGTTGCCTCGGAGCCGCGCAATCTTTATCACTGGGTCACGCCGAATAAACGAATAGTTTTCGCGTCTGACCCAAACCTTGCAGCGAAATAGACGCAACTCCATTATTTAGAATTTTTTTTATGAAGAATATACGTAAAAAAAAATCTCTTTCCATTTTTTGATCTGTTAATCTTGCTGTTTCTCGAATGGATCTCTGTATCAGAGATCGGGGGGAATTATTTGTGACGTAATCTCGAGACACGTATAACGTTTTCAACGTATGTTTATAGAAATCTCGTTCACCGTATACACGGAAAAGTTTATTCCCGCTCGTTGTGGATCACGAAATGAAAAGCTTCCTCTACTAGACGCGTTGATATAGAAACGTTGAACAGAGAAATGTAGCGTAAAAGAAAATTCCTGAAAAGAAAGTTTAAGTTTTGCGATCGAAATATAACGTCGGATATGTTTGTTGCTCTATACGTATGGGATCAGAGCGAAAAACACTGTAATGAATATAACACGATTATCAACTGATAGGTCATTTGTCAATGGCACTGAAACCGCTTGCTTGGTTTTAAATCGCATCTAAAATGATTAAACGAGGTTACGCAACGAGCTTAAGATGGCAGTTATTGGGACATCTACCCTGGTTGACGTTTCACTCACATGTTTAAATCGTTTAGTTTCATTCTTGCGCGTGCCTGTAGCGCGTGTCGCCGGGGAGCCGGATATTTAAAGAAAAGATAACAAAAGAACGAATTGTTGCGCAACCAAGGCCGTTTCACGTGGCTATTCTCCGTTGTCTGAGTTTATGGTCTTAGCATTGACTCGCGGAAGAGCCTAGCACTACGACCTTCCAGCTTTGGATCGCGGAAGAACGCCACGGTCTTTCTCTGATAGCGTGTGACGTTAGGGTTTTCCAAAAATCAATGATGTTAGCCTTCGAGATTATTCTCGAGGGTTGAACTCTTCAACGTAAGAATTAAGAATAAAGCGTCCATGGTCTTCCTGCATCAAACTTTAGAATTTTCTTTTTAACAGAATTCAGTTAATAGTCATTCCTTTTAAACACGTATTTTTATTTTTCACACGCTAGATTCGAAACTAAATAAATTAAAAGTAACCCACGTATGGTCTCGTATGTAAAAAATGATAAATTGAGGCGTCGAGATTTATAGATGAATCAAGAAGCGATATCGTCTGGTCATTGTATGAAGTAGAATGGCGAATCGTTCATCAGACCGTCCAGTTTCAAATATTCTTTAATATCCTCGTAAGAAACTAAAACGAATTTTCTATATTTACAATGAAATAACGAGAATTACTCAGTAATAAGGTTGTGTAATCAGCATTGTTTCGTAATCGTCCGCCGATATCGTTGGCACTTTTCAACGAAACCAATTTATTAGCGATATATATGTAGCTTATTAGCTATAGCACGATCGATCGCGTTTGCGCGTGTTTGTCACGGTTTATCGTCGAATTTATGCATCGACGGAATAAAATGAAAGTAAAAGTAGATGGGGGAATTTCACGACTATCGTCGCCATGTATTCGTCATTATGTAAACATGGTCGTTCGTGCCCTGACGAGTGGTTGCAGAGTCGATCGAAGACGTCTTTCGCTATTATCCTCGCCTTATCGCTCGATATCATGACGGGCACTCGGTGAACTTTTATATTTACACACGGGGTGTTTCCCCAAGCCGTGTCTCTCGCTATCTTTATTGTTATTGTGTCGACGATAGGCGGACCGGTTAAAGGAGGAAATAGCCAGAATTTTTTAAAATTAAAAAAGTACAAGTTAAATTAAAAGTTAAATAAAAGTAAAAGTAAAAGCACAGACGACGTATACGAGTGGACCTTTCACCTAACGTATTTTTTCGGCCCGCTTATCTGGGGTCTCGAGACACCCATTACCATTTCCGTGTCACTCGCAACGTTACCAACAGATTTAGAAATTAACACAAGAGGAAGTGAGACAGAAAATGAAATTACAGATATTTTATTATTTTTTCACGGAATGAAAGCTGTGCATCATTGGACATTAATCGATTAATTTCATTGGAGCAATCAATCGATTAGGAAAAATTATTTTCAGTTACGGGGGTTAATTACAATCACTTTTGGTGAATAGACATACCCCCAAAATCCTACGCACTTTTGAGAAAAAAATTCGAGTAGGTGGACAAATCTGTCGGCAAAATTAAAAAATTTCAAATCGTTCTGGAAAAATTATTTTCGGTTGCGGGGGTCAATTACAATCACTTTTGGTGAATAGAGATGTCCCCGAAATTCTACTCACTTTCGAGAAAAAAATTCGAGTAGCTGCTTAGATTTTTCGGTGAAAAGAAAAAATTTCAAATCGTTGTAGAAAAATTATTTTTGGTTGCGGGGGTCAGTTACAATCATTTTTGGTGAATAGACATACCCCCAAAATCCTACGCACTTTCGAGAAAAAAATTCGAATAGCTACATAAATTTTTCAGTGAAAAGAAAAAATTTCAAGTCGTTCTGGAAAAATTATTTTCGGTTGCGGGGGTCAATTACAATCACTTTTGGTGAATACACATACCTCCGAAATCCTACATAGTTTCGAGAAAAAAATTCTTTACCGAAAATATACAGTGTGGCCAGAAATGTTTCCCCGAAATTCAAATAACGTGTATTAATGGAGCTCTAGAGCTCTAGAAACGAAATTATTCCAATAAATAGCAATAGCAATAATTATCCTGCGGATAAAATAGAATTATAATGAATATTTATTAGAAAGAATTCGAATAATGCCGATCTCTGGTCGCAGACTTTACGCGTATGAGTCAGTATGGCTCGTAACTCCTTCCAGGATTGATTTGTTTTCCTCCCCGCGTTGTTCTTGCAATCAGATTTTCTATTTATTTTCTTCCGATTAACGTTGACGTGTTTTCAATTTCAGTGCCGGCGGCCTTGTAACTGCAGTAGCACCTGTGGTTATCAGCGGAAATGGAGTTTGGGTTGGATGGCCGGGAATGCACATGGAAAATCCGAACGAGCCAATTCCCGAATCCGACCCTAACGATCGTACGCCCACGGCTGGCCTTCTATCCCGCAAAGTACGTCTTTTCTTTGAAGAATCTTATTTCGAATCAGGACGACACGATATTTCCAGAAAATATAATGGAAAAATTAAAAACAAAAAAAAAATAGATAACTCTGTAGATTTATAATTCTTTGTATCTTTTTTAACTTTTAGAAACTCGTATAATGACGGTTCATTAATATTCTAAATAGTAACTACCCGCCTGTCGATGGAATTAAGGGTTTACGTTGGAGTAACGAGAGCTAACGATAATAGCTATCCAATGTGTATCGATTCTGGGTTTTCATTCGTAATGAAGACACTGTCTATTATGAGATCAATTAGGGGATCGCGTTTCCGAGCCATTTGAAACAACGAAGCAAATATCAGAGATAATTTGCACCGAATATAGATCTATGCAATATAGTAAATTGCAATGTATTTCAGCATATGCTAATTATTTTAAACAGAGCGTTAACAATGTCTCGTGCCGTAAGTCGTAATTTGCTTCGTCTCTGCAGACAAATCGAAGTTTGGATTAACGTTGCCTATATTTTGTTGTCTCCTGTGCGCTGATGGAACGATAATTTTATTTTGTGGTTTGCACCGTCGAACCTAATAGAAAAATGCGAGTCGAAGGAAACAGTTGAAATTTCCGTTTAAACATTCAAATTTCGCGTCGACGGAATACGTCGTAAGACCCGTTTATTTTCGTACTCGGTTCGGAACACGGTTGCAGGAAATACGCTAAATATAATTCACCTCCGTTACGCGCCACGTCAGATAGTTCCGATTGACATCGCCGTGGTATTTTATAATAATGTCGTCGTCGACAGCTTCGTGCGAAAACTTTATTTATCGCGAGAGATTCCCTCGATTCTAATATCGAATTCCGGTCTCTCTCGTTAACCCATTTACCATCCACTTCGAGAATTCTTCGTTTCGGAGAATACTGGGTCACAAATGATTCTGGCGGAACACACTTCGTCCAATCAATGTTTTAAAGCTACCTTCTGCGTTTGAACATCGACCGAATTCCGTGCGAGATATTTTCTTTCAACCTTTAATTGAGATTACGTATTAAATAACTTTTATGGCAGTCGATTCTATGGTTTTATCTAAGCTGAGCGATAAAACGGTTTAAGAACAGGCGGTGAAACATCGCGTCTAATCGTAGGCACACGTCGATGGAAAAGTTTCAAACGGAAACAGACACTGTTGAATTCCAAGAAAACAGAACCATACGATAACAATACAGGGCGATTCTAGAAACTGGAACGAATCGTATCTCTTTCTTGGTCGCGGAGAGAAAAAATTGAATGGTTTCAAGGAGCCTATAGCTCGCTACGACCGCACTTCTTGCGCAAGAGTAACGATGCAATTGCACCTGACAATGAAAATATTCCCTGTTTAAAAAAAAAAAAAAAATCGCGGACGTACCTCGTTGTTCTACGCGCGAAAGTACTTGTTCAAATAACGTATGTTCAAAATCTTATATTCTAAAGATACAAAAAATAATTTATTATGATTGGAGAACGTTTGGACCAATTTTATTGTTTTTTTTTTTTTTTTTAATTTATATTTACTCCAAGACGACGAAAGTAATAAAAAATAATACATACGAACATATGACTGAAATCTAGCCAATTCGATCACGAATTCCGCGTGAGAATACATTGCGTCGATTGCAATATTGTGCTACAGTTATATTGTATCACTATAGTACCGCGACCTTGATCACAGCACACGTTGCAAGTTACAAAATTTAAATAGTAATTTCGACGATGATCGTAAGCGCCAGACGATGACAGTGTCTATGAAATAGGCACATTTCTCTTTAAAAATAGAGCAGGGAACATTCGAGGCGCCCATGAGAATTTCTCGTTATGTAAGAACCGTACGTTACTTTTGTATCGATCATCGGAGGGATAAAGGTTACGCCGGTCGCGTAATTATTTCATCTTGTAATTTTAACTCGTCGAGCCAATGACGTACGCGACACGTCACGAATACCGAGGCGTCGTCACGATCGTGTTGCATGAACGACGACGTTCGTCACGCAAGCAACACTCGCGCTGCACGTTTATTGCGGTTCTTCGTCGACCTCGGCATTGATAGTTTATTCGTAAAATGCTCGACGTTTCTGACTCATTCTTCCTACGCGCCGACCCCGTAATGTTCCATTATGATCGAGTTACCGAAAAATATTCCATTCCGTCTCGTACGATTTTACGGTCACGCGCTTACGTTTGGAAACTTGGCGAATTCCACGCGAATTCGGCCACGCGGATGATTAATCGTTTCCTGCTTCTATCAGCTTTTTAAATTATCGCTTTATTTAATTGCAATAATTAAATGCCAGGTGACAAGGAAAACCACCTTCACCGTTTCTAAATTCCGTTCGAATTTTTCTTTGGAAAAATGGAGCCTCGTGTGACTGGAAATTTTAAAATTTTTACATACTACAATTTTACTATTTTCAGATAAAAAAATTATGTGCACAAATATGGCTGAAAATTTAATTAATCTTGTATATTTGTTAAATATTAGTCTTCTATTTATTTTTGAACATTTGTGTCAGAAAAATTTCATGAAGAATAAAGACTAATTTTACCTAGGTATAACAGGGTGATCGGCCACCCCTGGGAGAAATTTTAATGGGAGATTCTAGAGGCCAAAATAAGACGAAACTCAAGAATAGTAATTTGTTGATTGAGGCTTCATAAAAAATGAAATTACAAAATTTCAAATCATTCTGAAAAAATTATTTTTAGTTGTGGGGCATAATTACAATCATTTTTGGTGAATAGACATATCCCCGAAATCCTACCTACTTTCGAGAAAAAAATTCGGGAAGGTGCGAAATTTTTCGGCGAAAAAAAAAATTTTTCAAATCGTTCTAAAAAAATTTTTTGCGGTTGCACGGATCGATTACAATCATTTTTGGCGAATAGACATACCCCGAAATCCTACGCACTTGCGAGAAAAAAATTCTTTACCGAAAACCTAATGTGAGGCCAGAAATGCTTCCCTGAAATTTCATGCGAATCTTTAAAATGTCATAACTTCTGAACGGATTGGAGGATTTTAATTTTTCAAACTGCAAACAACGCGTATTTTAGTGGTGAATATGTAGAAATTCTAACAATATTGAAAAAGTTGTACCTTGACACCGTAAAGTGAGAAAAACCCCCTAAAATTGGTCCAATTTTCAAACGGCCATGACTCCTACAATAGTAAAGGTATCTCATTCAAATTTTTTTCTGACGCAGTGCCCATGGGTACCTACAAAAAACTATTAGACAACTTTTCTGTAGAGCGTCAAACAAATTTTTAAGAAAAATCGACAAAAGGGGTGGTGCCTAAATTTTTCGACGACAAAAAAAATTTCAAATCGTTCTGGAAAAATTATTTCCACTTGTGGGGGTCAAGTACAATCATTTTTGGTCATTAGACATAACCGCGAATTCCTACCCACTTTCAAGAAAAAAATTCGAGAAGATGTGAAATTTTTCGACGGAAAAAAAAATTTCAAATCGTTTTGGAAAAATTATTTTCAGTTGCGGGGTTCAATTACAATCATTTTTGGTGAATAGACATACCTCCGAAATCCTATCCATTTTCGAGAAAAAAATTCAATACGGGCGGAACTTTAAACGTTAGTATAACTTTTTAACGAAGCCTCCATCAACAAATTAGTATTCTTGATTTTCGTCTTATTTTTGACCACCCTGTATATTGAGCTGTATTTCATTCGAATAACGTATGCAGGTAATTTTTATCCAGATACTTTATTCGTGACTTGAGAATGAAAGCTGGTCGCCGTTCTAATTCGATCACAGACGTCTCTAAACCGTAACCGTCTATTCGAAAGATCTTTTAATTATCGAAGTCTTCGATTTCAGCTGCTTCATTGTTCGCGAAACGATCATCGTTCACAGTTCAAATGAATCATCAGTGTTTTTCTCTCGATTGTGTACGTTTCGTAGTTCCGTCCAGCTCGACGAGTGCCAAAAACAAACCTCGATACCGATTACGCTCATATCCACGATGACTATCGATCGTATACTTTCCCGCGTCACGCTGATAATTGATAATTTTTTGTTTGCCTATCCGTCGTGTTTGTTCAGAAGCATCGAACTTTCGCCGCGGGTGCAAACGTCATATACGGGGTTCGTGTTGTGGCATCGAGGTAGATACTGTCGCAATTAACCGAGTTTCACGCGCCCTTTCACCCCCTTTATTCCATCCTAATTATCGTTCGAGACTTTTCACGTAAAAATGTAACTTCTCTAATTAGATAAGACCGCGTTGCGCAACCGCTGGACTTCGAAACATTATTAGCGAACAACCGACGATAAACTTTCACTTCGTTACATTCTCCGTAAACATTTTCGAGCAAGTAACGGAGTTCGAGTTGGTCGTAAACTTACTTCGACGCTGATAAACCTGAATAAATCCACCCCTAGTACTGGTTCGTTCGCCTCTTTCATTCCCACATTGTTACGTATTTAGAATTATTTATTAAATTTTCAAATCCATGATATTTTTATCAAACAAACACCAGATTGACATCGTGTCTATTATTTGTTGTTCGCTCGTTTATGAATCATAGTGAAACTGTTTAACTTTTGGGACAGTGGTTGATCGAACAACAGGCATTAACATCGTGATTTCATTGGATGGAAATTAGTAGTTTGGTACAACGTCGTAAACCATTATTAAATGGCTGATAAACATTTATCTGCAGAAAACGTCTGCAAAGTGGACCTATGACATTTGGACCTATTAATTATCTAATAGAGTCAGTCTAAACATTCAGAACATACAGAGTGTCTGGAAACTGTCTTGAAAAGGCGCGAGCATGATCTCCTGTTCCGCATCGTCGTTATTTAAAGAGGTATTCTAAAATTGATAGTCAAACTTGAGAGTGTTTCCATATTTTAAATTATCGATTTTTCCTTTGTTTCAATGCCTGTTGTAATCAAACTTATCCTAATCAAGAATCTATTTTAATTTTTCAAATATATAAAC